AGATATCATGAGATCTTCAGGTCCAAGCAAATTGAAACGGTTTCGTTCTGCAGCAAGTTCCACATCTGAACGCCGAGCCATTTGCAGCGCTTTGCTGTTTCTTTTTCAGCCATGCAGATGCAGATGATCCACCTGATGCAGCCCATTCAGCCACGCTTGGTGCTGCAGCAGGCCGTGCTCAAGCAGCCAGTGGTGTCGCATGTGCGGCCAGCGCAGCCGTGGCTTGGGCAGCTGCAGCTGCCAGCTCAGGTGAGGCCGGCGGGGCCCATGGCGCCAGCCGCGATGCCAACGCCGGTGAAGCACATGGCGAAGCTGGCCAGGCCATTGCGTTGGGTTTATGCTGCCCCTATGCAGCGCACCCAAGGACGCACCAATCAGGTGGTGCTTCCATTCCAACAGGTTGTTTCGACCAAGGTGATGGCTCCAGAGCGGAAGGAGCTTCCCAAAGAGGCCGGGTGTGGAGGGGATGCCCCATCGACTTTAAGGTTTTTTGGGAATTTAGCCTCTTCCGGTTTTGTCAAGAGTCAAAATGATCAAAATGTTAATTTGTTCCAGTTGGTCTTGCCGCGCCCAAAGCCACAGGTGTCCACGCAGGTGAAAGCACCAGAGCGCAAAGAGCTCCCGCTGATTGATGGCCAAGTTCCCAAAGACGCCGGTGTTGAGGGCATGCACCCAATCGATTTCAAAGCGTTTTGGGAGCAGAGCCTTTTGAAGTTTTTGTCAACTTGTTCAGTTCTTCCAGTCGGTGTTATGGGTTTCAAGAGACTCTCTCATGTTGATTTGCTCATCCGAAGCTATAGTCTTTTCGTGTTTTGTTGCCACAAAACTGTGCGTATCCCCCTGCCAGATGCAGGTGACAAAGTCGACACGGCAGAGAAAAATTCAGAAGAACGGGTGTTATCGGATGTTCATGTTGGGCTTTAACCCCATTCAGCTGGAGTACACCCCCCCCTCTATAGGATCTATTAATCAAATTTGGGATATGTATAAGTGACCCCCTTGAGAAATGCACAAAGTGACAGCTCTGATTCTATAGAGGGGAATTCCACAAAAATGGAGCATTAAGTCAGTACCCCGTACTCTTACATTCTATAGAGGGCTATTCTGATCAGGAAAATAGATTCTATAGAGGGGGGGGGGCGTACTCCCCAATTTATATCTATAGAATCGGGGAGTATGGGGTAATGACTTAATCTGAAGGGGGATGTCCAAGCTTAGGAATCAGCAAAATATGGTTGTGGTCGACCTGCGCGGTAAGACCGCGCAAGCGGCCACATCGCAGGGACAGTTCATGTCCCGGCCATGGATCTCCTCAAGGAGATCCAGAAATTTGTGGAGATGTTTTTGGACCAGCCCATCGTCGCATTCATGTGCCAATACTCGGCCCATAGGGCTCCGACAGCGGCTGGATGGATTGTAACAACATGCTTGCTGTGCATTTTTGTTTTCTAATTTCAAGAGTTGTACCAAAACCCCTTCAAGAGCAACAGTTTCAGCAGGGGAAAACCAAAGCAACAAGGTCGCCAACTTCTACCGAAAGAGCTGCCCATCCAAGCAGCGAGTGATAATCCTAGAGGGCGGCTTCAGGGGATGGGAGGCCCATGACCTCCCTATCCAGCAGATTGAGACGAAACTGTCCCAGAAAGCGGCTGACCAGCTTGCACTGAAGATCGGGAAGGAAGTTTCCAAGTTGACCGGCTGAATGTGTGGCTATGAGCGGCAGGCACAGGTCGAATTTGAATACCTGCCAAATTTAGATTGTCAGTTTCACCCCTTGGTCGAGGCCAACATTGCTTCGCCGGCACAATGCTGAAGTGCACCAAACAGTGGTAAAACCGAGCAGTCACAGTTAGTCAATATGGTCTCGAATCTTTTCTTTTGAAGATTGTGGTATTGTGGCTGAGGGCCATTTGGATTGCCAGCTGAGGTGGACATCTCTTTGCCTGTGGAGGTCGTGATGGCGATATCTACCACTCCTCAGCCGAGTGCTTTCAGCTACCTGAGGCTCTGCAGGGCTGGCTGGCTGGTTTAAAGATGTTTCAAATCTGCTGCATACTGATACATATCCTAGTATTTAAAAAATATAATAAAATTATATATATAATATATATATTTATAATTAGTATTCTATTGATTTCTATAGTACGTTTACATACTATAGTATATATATATGATTCACTTATTTACGTGTGTCTGCATATATTTGTCTATAAATATATAAATGTATACACATACATGCATGCATGCATGCATGCATGCATGCATACATACATACATACATACATACATACCTACATACCTACATACCTACATACCTACATACCTACATACCTACATACCTACCTACCTACCTACCTACCTACCTACCCGAGGCTCCAGACGGGTGGCACTTGGAGGTTTCTTTGATAGGACTGCCTGAGTGGTTTGAAGATGTTTCAAGACAGTTTCAAGATTTGTCAAACTTTTTCCATGATATATGTATTTACATTTTACTTCGTAGCAGGGGTCTTGCTATTTTGCAGCCAGCTCAAGAGCAGCTATCGGGTACAGCGATGCACCATGATCAACTGCTAGCGCACACTCATGACATCTCATGACAATGGTGATGGTGTTCTTAATGAGGATCATGACTCATGACTCATGACTCATGACGATGATGATGATGATGATGATGATGATGATGGCGATGACAATGACGATGATGATGATGATGATGATCATCATCATCATCATGATGCTGACCGTTTCAAGCTTGGAATGATTTGCTGGTCTGCCATTTTTTTGCCAAGTTGAGTCTGACACCAGGCGGCCTTGGCTTGGTGACATTAGGCTTGGGGCCTGAGGAAATGGCTAAGATGATCTGTGAGTTGAGCTATAGATTAGATAAATTCGAAAAGCACACTTCAGGAAGGAAATTTGTATTTTTCGACAAGGTTCTATTGTTGATTCACGACATGGGTTTACCCCTGGAGTTCATAGCTATAATTTTGTAATGTTTTGAAGCGAAGTCCTTTCCTCATCATCCTATATAATCCTTTCCTTGCCGGGAATGGGAAAGGGTCAGCCAAAAAGCAAGACATGAGACTCATCATGAGACATCCCGAGATCTTCAGGTCGAAGTGCTGCAGGTTTCCACATCTCGCCGAGCCATTCAGCTTCGAGTCTGCATAGTCTGCATCGTGTTAGAGTGTGTTGCGTTCTTTCCATGCAGATGCAGCAGATGCAGCCACGCTTGGTGCTGCAGGCCGTGGTCAGGCAGCCAGTGCTGTCGCATGCGCGGCCAGCGCAGCCCTGGGACAGGTCAGCTTGGTCAGAATCCTGCGAGGCCCATGGCGATGCCAGTGGCGATGCCAGTAGCGATGCCAACGCCCATCGTGAAGGCCGTGGTCAAGCCCGTGGTGAAGCCATCGCAATGGATTTATGCCTTGCTCCAAAGCACCCCAGGACGCAGCACCAGGTGGTCCTCTGTGGAAGGTGTGGTTTTGGCGTGTCTTGTTGCCCCAACGTGCGACTCTAACCAGACGAGGAATGTTTGAATCCTTTGGTGTATGTCAAAGCCCAGGAAGCATCAAAGTTGCGCGGGCAAGATCGGGCAAGCGGGGCTATTCGGCCATTCCAGGAACGGCAAATATCCCAGCCATGGATCTCCTCAAGGAGATCGGGAAATATGTGGAGGAGTGTGGGGACCAGCCGATCGTGGCATTTTTTTGCCAGTATTCGAGTATTGGCACAAGAATGCCACGATCGGCTGGTCCCCAAAATCCTTCACGTACTTCCCGATCTCCTTGAGGAGATCCATGGCCGGGACATGAACTGTCCCCAAACTTCTCCACGTCTATTCAGCTCATCGAGCTTCCACTGTGGCTGGATGCATTTGTAGCAATACACTTGCTGTGCATGTGTATTTTCTATTGTTTTCTGATTTCAAGAGTTGTACCACAACTCCCTTCAAGAGCAACAGTTTCAGCAGGGGAAAACCAAAGCAACAAGTTCGCAAACTTCTACCAAAAGAGCTGCCAGTTCAAACAGCGTGTGATGATCCTGGAGGGCGGCTTCAGGGATGGGAGGCCCATGACCTCCTTATCCAGCAGATTGAGACGAAACTGTCCCAGAAAGCGTGTGACCAGCTGGCCCTGGTTGGGAAGGATGTTTCCAAGTTGACCGGCTGGAACGCGTGTGACCAGCTGGCCGTGAAGATTGGCCAGAGTGTCTCAAAGTTGATGGCTGAGTGCCGTGTGATGAGCAGCAGGCACAGTTCGAATGCCTGCCGCCATCAGCATTCAGCCGTCAGTATCCAGTACCACCCCTTGGTCGAGGCCAACATTGCTTCGCCCACAACTAGACCACGGATGGCCCGATCTATGTAGATGTGAACCTGTGAAGATGTATAACAGGCCCCCACTATTAGAAGAACCCTTTGCTCAGACGCTCTCGGGAAAAAGCAGAGTGGTCAGTCACGGGTCAAGGTTGGTCTTGAATCCCCTTGTGGCGTTGTGGCTGAAGGGCCATCGGAAGCAGCGCCCAATTTTGAGACGCAACGAACTTCCCAGCTGAGGTGGGCATCTTTTTGCAATATCACTCCTCAGCCGAGTGCTTTTAGCTGTACCTGATGCTCCAGACGGGGCTGCGGCACTCGGAGGTTTGCCGTGGTCGGGCTGGCCGGGTGGTTGGAAGATGTTTCAAATTTGTTGCATATATTTGACATATCAATCATATCCATATCAATCATTTGAAAATTTGATTACACTTACTGTAATCTTTACTTAGTAGCAGAGGCAATTGCTGCCTGTTGCAACTGTTGCGCCCAGCCCAAGAGCAGCCAGGGTATAGCGATGTGCCATGACCAAATGCATACTCCTGACATCTCATGACATCTCATGACGATGGTGGTGATGATGATGGCGACGATGACGATCCTTTCAGGTTTAAGATGGGTTTGCCATTTTTTGTCAAGTGGAGTCTGATTCCAGGTATTAACTGCTATGCCATCTATGCGTATGTACCCACCACGATGATGATGATGATGATGATGATGGTGGTGGTGGTGATGATGATGATGATGCTGGTGATGATGATGATGATGATGATGACGATGACGATGACGATGACGATGATGACGATGATGATGATGATGATGATGACGACGATTGTGATTGCGATTGTGCTGACTTGCTATGCCGTTTTTTGCCACGTAAAGTCTGATGCCAGGCGGCCTTGGCTTGGAGGCCTTACGTTTGGGACCTGAGGGAATATCTGCCTAAGACATCATGTGTGAGTTATCTAGAGAAGTGGAAAAACACTCTGGACAGGCATTCTGCAGGAAGGAAATGAGCATGGATTTTCCCTATGAGTTCATAAGTTCAAAACTGCAGTCTTGAAGCAAAGTCCTTTCCCTGTGTTTAAGGAAGGGGAAAGGGTGAGCCAAAAGCAAGACATGAGATATCATGAGATCTTCAGGTCCAAGCAAATTGAAACGGTTTCGTTCTGCAGCAAGTTCCACATCTGAACGCCGAGCCATTTGCAGCGCTTTGCTGTTTCTTTTTCAGCCATGCAGATGCAGATGATCCACCTGATGCAGCCCATTCAGCCACGCTTGGTGCTGCAGCAGGCCGTGCTCAAGCAGCCAGTGGTGTCGCATGTGCGGCCAGCGCAGCCGTGGCTTGGGCAGCTGCAGCTGCCAGCTCAGGTGAGGCCGGCGGGGCCCATGGCGCCAGCCGCGATGCCAACGCCGGTGAAGCACATGGCGAAGCTGGCCAGGCCATTGCGTTGGGTTTATGCTGCCCCTATGCAGCGCACCCAAGGACGCACCAATCAGGTGGTGCTTCCATTCCAACAGGTTGTTTCGACCAAGGTGATGGCTCCAGAGCGGAAGGAGCTTCCCAAAGAGGCCGGGTGTGGAGGGGATGCCCCATCGACTTTAAGGTTTTTTGGGAATTTAGCCTCTTCCGGTTTTGTCAAGAGTCAAAATGATCAAAATGTTAATTTGTTCCAGTTGGTCTTGCCGCGCCCAAAGCCACAGGTGTCCACGCAGGTGAAAGCACCAGAGCGCAAAGAGCTCCCGCTGATTGATGGCCAAGTTCCCAAAGACGCCGGTGTTGAGGGCATGCACCCAATCGATTTCAAAGCGTTTTGGGAGCAGAGCCTTTTGAAGTTTTTGTCAACTTGTTCAGTTCTTCCAGTCGGTGTTATGGGTTTCAAGAGACTCTCTCATGTTGATTTGCTCATCCGAAGCTATAGTCTTTTCGTGTTTTGTTGCCACAAAACTGTGCGTATCCCCCTGCCAGATGCAGGTGACAAAGTCGACACGGCAGAGAAAAATTCAGAAGAACGGGTGTTATCGGATGTTCATGTTGGGCTTTAACCCCATTCAGCTGGAGTACACCCCCCCCTCTATAGGATCTATTAATCAAATTTGGGATATGTATAAGTGACCCCCTTGAGAAATGCACAAAGTGACAGCTCTGATTCTATAGAGGGGAATTCCACAAAAATGGAGCATTAAGTCAGTACCCCGTACTCTTACATTCTATAGAGGGCTATTCTGATCAGGAAAATAGATTCTATAGAGGGGGGGGGGCGTACTCCCCAATTTATATCTATAGAATCGGGGAGTATGGGGTAATGACTTAATCTGAAGGGGGATGTCCAAGCTTAGGAATCAGCAAAATATGGTTGTGGTCGACCTGCGCGGTAAGACCGCGCAAGCGGCCACATCGCAGGGACAGTTCATGTCCCGGCCATGGATCTCCTCAAGGAGATCCAGAAATTTGTGGAGATGTTTTTGGACCAGCCCATCGTCGCATTCATGTGCCAATACTCGGCCCATAGGGCTCCGACAGCGGCTGGATGGATTGTAACAACATGCTTGCTGTGCATTTTTGTTTTCTAATTTCAAGAGTTGTACCAAAACCCCTTCAAGAGCAACAGTTTCAGCAGGGGAAAACCAAAGCAACAAGGTCGCCAACTTCTACCGAAAGAGCTGCCCATCCAAGCAGCGAGTGATAATCCTAGAGGGCGGCTTCAGGGGATGGGAGGCCCATGACCTCCCTATCCAGCAGATTGAGACGAAACTGTCCCAGAAAGCGGCTGACCAGCTTGCACTGAAGATCGGGAAGGAAGTTTCCAAGTTGACCGGCTGAATGTGTGGCTATGAGCGGCAGGCACAGGTCGAATTTGAATACCTGCCAAATTTAGATTGTCAGTTTCACCCCTTGGTCGAGGCCAACATTGCTTCGCCGGCACAATGCTGAAGTGCACCAAACAGTGGTAAAACCGAGCAGTCACAGTTAGTCAATATGGTCTCGAATCTTTTCTTTTGAAGATTGTGGTATTGTGGCTGAGGGCCATTTGGATTGCCAGCTGAGGTGGACATCTCTTTGCCTGTGGAGGTCGTGATGGCGATATCTACCACTCCTCAGCCGAGTGCTTTCAGCTACCTGAGGCTCTGCAGGGCTGGCTGGTTGGTTTAAAGATGTTTCAAATCTGCTGCATACTGATACATATCCTAGTATTTAAAAAATATAATAAAATTATATATATATATAATATATATATATATATATTTATAATTAGTATTCTATTGATTTCTATAGTACGTTTACATACTATAGTATATATATATGATTCACTTATTTACGTGTGTCTGCATATATTTGTCTATAAATATATAAATGTATACACATACATGCATGCATGCATGCATGCATGCATGCATACATACATACATACATACATACATACATACCTACATACCTACATACCTACATACCTACATACCTACATACCTACATACCTACCTACCTACCTACCTACCTACCCGAGGCTCCAGACGGGTGGCACTTGGAGGTTTCTTTGATAGGACTGCCTGAGTGGTTTGAAGATGTTTCAAGACAGTTTCAAGATTTGTCAAACTTTTTCCATGATATATGTATTTACATTTTACTTCGTAGCAGGGGTCTTGCTATTTTGCAGCCAGCTCAAGAGCAGCTATCGGGTACAGCGATGCACCATGATCAACTGCTAGCGCACACTCATGACATCTCATGACAATGGTGATGGTGTTCTTAATGAGGATCATGACTCATGACTCATGACTCATGACGATGATGATGATGATGATGATGATGATGATGATGATGATGATGATGATGATGGCGATGACAATGACGATGATGATGATGATGATGATGATGATCATCATCATCATCATCATGATGCTGACCGTTTCAAGCTTGGAATGATTTGCTGGTCTGCCATTTTTTTGCCAAGTTGAGTCTGACACCAGGCGGCCTTGGCTTGGTGACATTAGGCTTGGGGCCTGAGGAAATGGCTAAGATGATCTGTGAGTTGAGCTATAGATTAGATAAATTCGAAAAGCACACTTCAGGAAGGAAATTTGTATTTTTCGACAAGGTTCTATTGTTGATTCACGACATGGGTTTACCCCTGGAGTTCATAGCTATAATTTTGTAATGTTTTGAAGCGAAGTCCTTTCCTCATCATCCTATATAATCCTTTCCTTGCCGGGAATGGGAAAGGGTCAGCCAAAAAGCAAGACATGAGACTCATCATGAGACATCCCGAGATCTTCAGGTCGAAGTGCTGCAGGTTTCCACATCTCGCCGAGCCATTCAGCTTCGAGTCTGCATAGTCTGCATCGTGTTAGAGTGTGTTGCGTTCTTTCCATGCAGATGCAGCAGATGCAGCCACGCTTGGTGCTGCAGGCCGTGGTCAGGCAGCCAGTGCTGTCGCATGCGCGGCCAGCGCAGCCCTGGGACAGGTCAGCTTGGTCAGAATCCTGCGAGGCCCATGGCGATGCCAGTGGCGATGCCAGTAGCGATGCCAACGCCCATCGTGAAGGCCGTGGTCAAGCCCGTGGTGAAGCCATCGCAATGGATTTATGCCTTGCTCCAAAGCACCCCAGGACGCAGCACCAGGTGGTCCTCTGTGGAAGGTGTGGTTTTGGCGTGTCTTGTTGCCCCAACGTGCGACTCTAACCAGACGAGGAATGTTTGAATCCTTTGGTGTATGTCAAAGCCCAGGAAGCATCAAAGTTGCGCGGGCAAGATCGGGCAAGCGGGGCTATTGGGCCATTCCAGGAACGGCAAATATCCCAGCCATGGATCTCCTCAAGGAGATCGGGAAATATGTGGAGGAGTGTGGGGACCAGCCGATCGTGGCATTTTTTTGCCAGTATTCGAGTACTGGCACAAGAATGCCACGATCGGCTGGTCCCCAAAATCCTTCACGTACTTCCCGATCTCCTTGAGGAGATCCATGGCCGGGACATGAACTGTCCCCAAACTTCTCCACGTCTATTCAGCTCATCGAGCTTCCACTGTGGCTGGATGCATTTGTAGCAATACACTTGCTGTGCATGTGTATTTTCTATTGTTTTCTGATTTCAAGAGTTGTACCACAACTCCCTTCAAGAGCAACAGTTTCAGCAGGGGAAAACCAAAGCAACAAGGTCGCAAACTTCTACCGAAAGAGCTGCCAGTTCAAACAGCGCGTGATGATCCTGGAGGGCGGCTTCAGGGGATGGGAGGCCCATGACCTCCCTATCCAGCAGATTGAGACGAAACTGTCCCAGAAAGTGTGTGACCAGCTGGCCCTGATTGGGAAGGATGTTTCCAAGTTGACCGGCTGGAACGCGTGTGACCAGCTGGCCGTGAAGATTGGCCAGAGTGTCTCAAAGTTAATGGCTGAGTGCCATGTGATGAGCAGCAGGCACAGTTCGAATGCCTGCCGCCATCAGCATTCAGCCGTCAGTATCCAGTATCACCCCTTGGTCGAGGCCAACATTGCTTCGCCCACAACTAGACGACGGATGGCCCGATCTATGTAGATGTGAAGATGTGAAGATGTATAACAGGCCCCCACTATTAGAAGAACCCTTCGCTCAGACGCTCTCGGGAAAAAGCAGAGTGGTCAGTCACGGGTCAAGGTTGGTCTTGAATCCCCTTGTGGCGTTGTGGCTGAAGGGCCATCAGAAGCAGCGCCCAATTTTGAGACGCAACTTCCCAGCTGAGGTGGGCATCTTTTTGCAATATCTCCTCAGCCGAGTGCTTTTAGCTGTACCTGATGCTCCAGACGGGGCTGCGGCACTCGGAGGTTTGCCATGGTCGGGCTGGCCGGGTGGTTGGAAGATGTTTCAAATTTGTTGCATATATTTGACATATCAATCATATCCATATCAATCATTTGAAAATTTGATTACACTTACTGTAATCTTTACTTAGTAGCAGAGGCAATTGCTGCCTGTTGCAACTGTTGCGCCCAGCCCAAGAGCAGCCAGGGTATAGCGATGTGCCATGATCAAGTGCATACTCCTGACATCTCATGACGATGGTGGTGATGATGATGGCGACGATGACGATCCTTTCAGGTTTAAGACGGGTTTGCCATTTTTTTGCCAAGTGGAGTCTGATTCCAGGTATGAACTGCTATGCCATCTATGCGTATGTACCCACCACGATGATGATGATGATGATGATGATGATGGTGGTGGTGATGATGATGATGATGACGACGACGATGATGATGATGACGACGATTGTGATTGCGATTGCGATGACTTGCTATGATTTGCTGTTTTTTGCCACGTAAAGTCTGATGCCAGGCGGCCTTGGCTTGGAGGCCTTACGTTTGGGACCTGAGGAAATATCTGCCTAAGACATCATGTGTGAGTTATCTAGAGAAGTGGAAAAACACTCTGGACAGGCATTCTGCAGGAAGGAAATGAGCATGGATTTTCCCTATGAGTTCATAAGTTCAAAACTGCAGTCTTGAAGCAAAGTCCTTTCCCTGTGTTTAAGGAAGGGGAAAGAGTGAGCCAAAAGCAAGACATGAGATATCATGAGATCTTCAGGTCCAAGCAAATTGAAACGGTTTCGTTCTGCAGCAAGTTCCACATCTGAACGCCGAGCCATTTGCAGCGCTTTGCTGTTTCTTTTTCAGCCATGCAGATGCAGATGATCCACCTGATGCAGCCCATTCAGCCACGCTTGGTGCTGCAGCAGGCCGTGCTCAAGCAGCCAGTGGTGTCGCATGTGCGGCCAGCGCAGCCGTGGCTTGGGCAGCTGCAGCTGCCAGCTCAGGTGAGGCCCATGGCGCCAGCCGCGATGCCAACGCCGGTGAAGCACATGGCGAAGCTGGCCAGGCCATTGCGTTGGGTTTATGCTGCCCCTATGCAGCGCACCCAAGGACGCACCAATCAGGTGGTGCTTCCATTCCAACAGGTTGTTTCGACCAAGGTGATGGCTCCAGAGCGGAAGGAGCTTCCCAAAGAGGCCGGGTGTGGAGGGGATGCCCCATCGACTTTAAGGTTTTTTGGGAATTTAGCCTCTTCCGGTTTTGTCAAGAGTCAAAATGATCAAAATGTTAATTTGTTCCAGTTGGTCTTGCCGCGCCCAAAGCCACAGGTGTCCACGCAGGTGAAAGCACCAGAGCGCAAAGAGCTCCCGCTGATTGATGGCCAAGTTCCCAAAGACGCCGGTGTTGAGGGCATGCACCCAATCGATTTCAAAGCGTTTTGGGAGCAGAGCCTTTTGAAGTTTTTGTCAACTTGTTCAGTTCTTCCAGTCGGTGTTATGGGTTTCAAGAGACTCTCTCATGTTGATTTGCTCATCCGAAGCTATAGTCTTTTCGTGTTTTGTTGCCACAAAACTGTGCGTATCCCCCTGCCAGATGCAGGTGACAAAGTCGACACGGCAGAGAAAAAATCAGAAGAACGGGTGTTATCGGATGTTCATGTTGGGCTTTAACCCCATTCAGCTGGAGTACACCCCCCCCTCTATAGGATCTATTAATCAAATTTGGGATATGTATAAGTGACCCCCTTGAGAAATGCACAAAGTGACAGCTCTGATTCTATAGAGGGGAATTCCACAAAAATGGAGCATTAAGTCAGTACCCCGTACTCTTACATTCTATAGAGGGCTATTCTGATCAGGAAAATAGATTCTATAGAGGGGGGGGGGGGCGTACTCCCCAATTTATATCTATAGAATCGGGGAGTATGGGGTAATGACTTAATCTGAAGGGGGATGTCCAAGCTTAGGAATCAGCAAAATATGGTTGTGGTCGACCTGCGCGGTAAGACCGCGCAAGCGGCCACATCGCAGGGACAGTTCATGTCCCGGCCATGGATCTCCTCAAGGAGATCCAGAAATTTGTGGAGATGTTTTTGGACCAGCCCATCGTCGCATTCATGTGCCAATACTCGGCCCATAGGGCTCCGACAGCGGCTGGATGGATTGTAACAACATGCTTGCTGTGCATTTTTGTTTTCTAATTTCAAGAGTTGTACCAAAACCCCTTCAAGAGCAACAGTTTCAGCAGGGGAAAACCAAAGCAACAAGGTCGCCAACTTCTACCGAAAGAGCTGCCCATCCAAGCAGCGAGTGATAATCCTAGAGGGCGGCTTCAGGGGATGGGAGGCCCATGACCTCCCTATCCAGCAGATTGAGACGAAACTGTCCCAGAAAGCGGCTGACCAGCTTGCACTGAAGATCGGGAAGGAAGTTTCCAAGTTGACCGGCTGAATGTGTGGCTATGAGCGGCAGGCACAGGTCGAATTTGAATACCTGCCAAATTTAGATTGTCAGTTTCACCCCTTGGTCGAGGCCAACATTGCTTCGCCGGCACAATGCTGAAGTGCACCAAACAGTGGTAAAACCGAGCGGTCACAGTTAGTCAATATGGTCTCGAATCTTTTCTTTTGAAGATTGTGGCATTGCCAGCTGAGGTGGACATCTCTTTGCCTGTGGAGGTCGCGATGGCGATATCTACCTCAGCCGAGTGCTTTCAGCTACCTGAGGCTCTGCAGGGCTGGCTGGTTTGAAGATGTTTCAAATCTGCTGCATACTGATACATATCCTAGTATTAAAAATATATAATAAAATTATATAAAATATATATATATATATTTATAATTAGTATTCTATTGATTTCTATAGTACGTTTACATACTATAGTATATATATAATTCACTTATTTACGTGTGTCTGCATATATTTGTCTATAAATATACAAATGTATACACATACATACAGACAGACAGACAGACATACAGACAGACAGACATACATACATACCTACCTACCCGAGGCTCCAGACGGGTGGCACTTGGAGGTTTCTTTGATAGGACTGCCTGAGTGGTTTGAAGATGTTTCAAGACAGTTTCAAGATCTGTCAAACTTTTTCCATGATAAATCGGATGATATATGTATTTACATTTTTCTTCGTAGCAGGGGTCTTGCTATTTTGCAGCCAACTCAAAAGCAGCTATAGGGTACAGCGATGCACCATGATCAACTGCTAGCGCACACTCATGACATCTCATGACAATGGTGATGGTGTTCTTAATGAGGATCATGACTCATGAGTCATGACTCATGACTCACGACGATGACGATGATGATGATGATGATGATGATGATGGCGATGACAATGACGATGATGATGATGATGATGATGATGGCGATGGCGATGACGATGACGATGACGATGATGATGATGATCATCATCATCATCATCATCATGATGCTGACCGTTTCAAGCTTGGAATGATTTGCTGGTCTGCCATTTTTTTGCCAAGTTGAGTCTGACACCAGGCGGCCTTGGCTTGGTGACATTAGGCTTGGGGCCTGAGGAAATGGCTAAGATGATCTGTGAGTTGAGCTATAGATTAGATAAATTCGAAAAGCACACTTCAGGAAGGAAATTTGTATTTTTCGACAAGGTTCTATTGTTGATTCACGACATGGGTTTACCCCTGGAGTTCATAGCTATAATTTTGTAATGTTTTGAAGCGAAGTCCTTTCCTCATCATCCTATATAATCCTTTCCTTGCCGGGAATGGGAAAGGGTCAGCCAAAAAGCAAGACATGAGACTCATCATGAGACATCCCGAGATCTTCAGGTCGAAGTGCTGCAGGTTTCCACATCTCGCCGAGCCATTCAGCTTCGAGTCTGCATAGTCTGCATCGTGTTAGAGTGTGTTGCGTTCTTTCCATGCAGATGCAGCAGATGCAGCCACGCTTGGTGCTGCAGGCCGTGGTCAGGCAGCCAGTGCTGTCGCATGCGCGGCCAGCGCAGCCCTGGGACAGGTCAGCTTGGTCAGAATCCTGCGAGGCCCATGGCGATGCCAGTGGCGATGCCAGTAGCGATGCCAACGCCCATCGTGAAGGCCGTGGTCAAGCCCGTGGTGAAGCCATCGCAATGGATTTATGCCTTGCTCCAAAGCACCCCAGGACGCAGCACCAGGTGGTCCTCTGTGGAAGGTGTGGTTTTGGCGTGTCTTGTTGCCCCAACGTGCGACTCTAACCAGACGAGGAATGTTTGAATCCTTTGGTGTATGTCAAAGCCCAGGAAGCATCAAAGTTGCGCGGGCAAGATCGGGCAAGCGGGGCTATTGGGCCATTCCAGGAACGGCAAATATCCCAGCCATGGATCTCCTCAAGGAGATCGGGAAATATGTGGAGGAGTGTGGGGACCAGCCGATCGTGGCATTTTTTTGCCAGTATTCGAGTACTGGCACAAGAATGCCACGATCGGCTGGTCCCCAAAATCCTTCACGTACTTCCCGATCTCCTTGAGGAGATCCATGGCCGGGACATGAACTGTCCCCAAACTTCTCCACGTCTATTCAGCTCATCGAGCTTCCACTGTGGCTGGATGCATTTGTAGCAATACACTTGCTGTGCATGTGTATTTTCTATTGTTTTCTGATTTCAAGAGTTGTACCACAACTCCCTTCAAGAGCAACAGTTTCAGCAGGGGAAAACCAAAGCAACAAGGTCGCAAACTTCTACCGAAAGAGCTGCCAGTTCAAACAGCGCGTGATGATCCTGGAGGGCGGCTTCAGGGGATGGGAGGCCCATGACCTCCCTATCCAGCAGATTGAGACGAAACTGTCCCAGAGAGTGTGTGACCAGCTGGCCCTGATTGGGAAGGATGTTTCCAAGTTGACCGGCTGGAACGCGTGTGACCAGCTGGCCGTGAAGATTGGCCAGAGTGTCTCAAAGTTAATGGCTGAGTGCCATGTGATGAGCAGCAGGCACAGTTCGAATGCCTGCCGCCATCAGCATTCAGCCGTCAGTATCCAGTATCACCCCTTGGTCGAGGCCAACATTGCTTCGCCCACAACTAGACGACGGATGGCCCGATCTATGTAGATGTGAAGATGTGAAGATGTATAACAGGCCCCCACTATTAGAAGAACCCTTCGCTCAGACGCTCTCGGGAAAAAGCAGAGTGGTCAGTCACGGGTCAAGGTTGGTCTTGAATCCCCTTGTGGCGTTGTGGCTGAAGGGCCATCAGAAGCAGCGCCCAATTTTGAGACGCAACTTCCCAGCTGAGGTGGGCATCTTTTTGCAATATCACTCCTCAGCCGAGTGCTTTTAGCTGTACCTGATGCTCCAGACGGGGCTGCGGCACTCGGAGGTTTGCCGTGGTCGGGCTGGCCGGGTGGTTGGAAGATGTTTCAAATTTGTTGCATATATTTGACATATCAATCATATCCATATCAATCATTTGAAAATTTGATTACACTTACTGTAATCTTTACTTAGTAGCAGAGGCAATTGCTGCCTGTTGCAACTGTTGCGCCCAGCCCAAGAGCAGCCAGGGTATAGCGATGTGCCATGATCAAGTGCATACTCCTGACATCTCATGACGATGGTGGTGATGATGATGGCGACGATGACGATCCTTTCAGGTTTAAGACGGGTTTGCCATTTTTTTGCCAAGTGGAGTCTGATTCCAGGTATGAACTGCTATGCCATCTATGCGTATGTACCCACCACGATGATGATGATGATGATGATGATGATGGTGGTGGTGATGATGATGATGATGACGACGACGATGATGATGATGACGACGATTGTGATTGCGATTGCGATGACTTGCTATGATTTGCTGTTTTTTGCCACGTAAAGTCTGATGCCAGGCGGCCTTGGCTTGGAGGCCTTACGTTTGGGACCTGAGGAAATATCTGCCTAAGACATCATGTGTGAGTTATCTAGAGAAGTGGAAAAACACTCTGGACAGGCATTCTGCAGGAAGGAAATGAGCATGGATTTTCCCTATGAGTTTATAAGTTCAAAACTGCAGTCTTGAAGCAAAGTCCTTTCCCTGTGTTTAAGGGGAAAGGGTGAGCCAAAAGCAAGACATGAGATATCATGAGATCTTCAGGTCCAAGCAAATTGAAACGGTTTCGTTCTGCAGCAAGTTCCACATCTCAACGCCGAGCCATTTGCAGCGCTTTGCCGTTTCCTTTTCAGCCATGCAGATGCAGATGATCCCGATGCAGCCGATTCAGCCACGGGTGCAGCAGGCCGTGCTCAAGCAGCCAGTGCTGTCGCATATGTCGCATGTGCGGCCAGCGCAGCCGTGGCTTGGGCAGCTGCAGCTGCAGCAGCTGCCAGCTCAGGTGAGGCCGGCTGCGGGGCCGGCGCCAGCCGCGATGCCAACGCCCATGGTGCACATGGCGAAGCTGGCCAGGCCATTGCGTTGGGTGTATGCTGCCCCTATGCATCCTATGCAACGCACCCAAGGACGCAGCAATCAGGTGGTGCTTCCATTCCAACAGGTTGTTTCGACCAAGGTGGCTCCAGAGCGGAAGGAGCTTCCCAAAGAGGCCGGGTGTGGAGGGGATGCCCCATTGACTAATTTTTTTTGGGAATTTAGCCTCTTCCGGTTTTGTCAAGAGTCAAAATGATCAAAATGTTAATTCGTTCCAGTTGGTTTTGCCGCGCCCAAAGCCACAGGTGGTGTCCACGCAGGTGAAAGCACCAGAGCGCAAAGAGCTCCCGCTGATTGATGGCCAAGTTCCCAAAGACGCCGGTGTTGAGGGCATGCACCCAATCGATTTCAAAGCGTTTTGGGAGCAGAGCCTTTTCAAGTTTTTGTCAACTTGTTCAGTTCTTCCAGTCGGTGTTATGGGTTTCAAGAGACTCTCTCATGTTGATTTGCACATCCGAAGCTATGGTCTTTTCGTTTTTTGTTGCCACAAAACTGTGAGTTCTTTGGATTTCTTTGGTATGTCATGGTATGTCCAAGCTTAGGAATCAGCAAAATATGGTTGTGGTCGACCTGCGCGGTGAAGACCGCGAAAGTGGCCACATCGCAGGGACAGTTCATGTCCCAGCCATGGATCTCCTCAAGGAGATCCAGAAATTTGTGGAGATGTTTTTGGACCAGCCCATCGTGGCCTTCCTGTGCCAATACTCGGCACATAGGGCTCCGACAGCGGCTGGATGGATTGTAACAACATGCTTGCTGTGCATTTTTGTTTTCTAATTTCAAGAGTTGTACCAAAACCCCTTCAAGAGCAACAGTTTCAGCAGGGGAAAACCAAAGCAACGAGGTCGCCAACTTCTACCGAAAGAGCTGCCCAACCAAGCAGCGCGTGATGATCCTGGAGGGCGGCTTCAGGGGATGGGAGGCCCATGACCTCCCTATCCAGCAGATTGAGACGAAACTGTCCCAGAAAGCGGCTGACCAGCTTGCACTGAAGATCGGGAAGGAAGTTTCCAAGTTGACCGGCTGAATGTGTGGCTATGAGCGGCAGGCACAGGTCGAATTTGAATACCTGCCAAATTTAGATTGTCAGTTTCACCCCTTGGTCGAGGCCAACATTGCTTCGCCGGCACAATGCTGAAGTGCACCAAACAGTGGTAAAACCGAGCGGTCACAGTTAGGGCTTTGCGGCATTGTGGCTGAGGGCCATTTGGATTGCCAGCTGAGGTGGACATCTCTTTGCCTGTGGAGGTCGCGATGGCGATATCTACCTCAGCCGAGTGCTTTCAGCTACCTGAGGCTCTGCAGGGCTGGCTGGCTGGTTTGAAGATGTTTCAAATCTGCTGCATACTGATACATATCCTAGTATTAAAAAATGAAAATAACACTATATATATAATATAATATATATATAATATAATATAATATATATATATAATATAATATATATATAATATAATATATATATGATATAATATATATATAATATAATATATATATATTTATTTATTTATAATTAGTATTCTATTGATTTCTATAGTATATTTACATACTATAGTATATATATAATTCACTTATTTACGTGTGTCTGCATATATTTGTCTATAAATATATAAATGTATACACATGCATACATACATACATACATACATACATACATACATACCTGAGGCTCCAGACGGGTGGCACTTGGAGGTTTCTTTGATAGGACTGCCTGAGTGGTTTGAAGATGTTTCAAGACAGTTTCAAGATTTGTCAAACTTTTTCCATGATATATGTATTTACATTTTACTTCGTAGCAGGGGTCTTGCTATTTTGCAGCCAGCTCAAGAGCAGCTATCGGGTACACCGATGTACCATGATCAACTGCTAGCGCACACTCAAGACATCTCATGACAATGGTGATGGTGTTCTTAATGAGGATCATGACTCATGACTCATGACGATGATGATGATGATGATGACGACGACGACGATGATGATGATGATGCCGACCGTTTCAAGCTTAGAATGATTTGCTGGTTTGCCATTTTTTTGCCAAGTTGAGTCTGACACCAGGCGGCCTTGGCTTGGTGGCGTTAGGTTTGGGGCCTGAGGAAATGGCTGCCTAAGATGATCTGTGAGTTGAGCTATAGATTAGATAAATTCGAAAAGCACACTTCAGGAAGGAAATTTGTATTTTTCGACAAGGTTCTATTGTTGATTCACGACATGGGTTTGCCCCTGGAGTTCATAGCTACAATTTTTTAATGTTTTGAAGCGAAGTCTTTCCTCATCATCCTATATAATCCTTTCCTTGGCGGGAATGGGAAAGGGTCAGCCAAAAAGCAAGACATGAGACTCATCATGAGACATCCCGAGATCTTCAGGTCGAAGTGCTGCAGGTTTCCACATCTCGCCGAGCCATTCAGCTTCGAGTCTGCATAGTCTGTATCGTGTTAGAGTGTGTTGCGTTCTTTCCATGCAGATGCAGCAGATGCAGCCACGCTTGGTGCTGCAGGCCGTGGTCAGGCAGCCAGTGCTGTCGCATGCGCGGCCAGCGCAGCCCTGGGACGGGTGCATCAGCTTGGTCAGAATTCTGCGAGGCCCATGGCGATGCCAGTGGCGATGCCAACGCCCATCGTGAAGGCCGTGGTCAAGCCCGTGGTGCACGCCAGGACGCAGCACCAGGTGGTCCTCTGTGGAAGGTGTGGTTTTGGCGTGTCTTGTTGCCCCAACGTGTGACTCTAACCAGACGAGGAATGTTTGAATCCTTTGGTGTATGTCAAAGCCCAGGAAGCATCAAAGTTGCGCGGGCAAGATCGGGCAAGCGGGGCTATTCGGCCATGCCAGGAACGGCAAATATCCCGGCCATGGATCTCCTCAAGGAGATCGGGAAATATGTGGAGGAGTGTGGGGACCAGCCGATCGTGGCATTTTTTTGCCAGTATTCGAGTACTGGCACAAGAATGCCACGATCGGCTGGTCCCCAAAATCCTTCACGTACTTCCCGATCTCCTTGAGGAGATCCATGGCCGGGACATGAACTGTCCCCAAGCTTCTCCACGTCTATTCAGCTCATCGAGCTTCCACTGTGGCTGGATGTATTTGTAGCAATACACTTGCTGTGCATGTGTATTTTCTATTGTTTTCTGATTTCAAGAGTTGTACCACAACTCCCTTCAAGAGCAACAGTTTCAGCAGGGGAAAACCAAAGCAACAAGTTCGCAAACTTCTACCGAAAGAGCTGCCAGTCCCGACAGCGCGTGATGATCCTGGAGGGCGGCTTCAGGGGATGGGAGGCCCATGACCTCCCCATCCAACAGATATAGACGAAACTTTCCCAGAAAGCGTGTGACCAGCTGGCCCTGATTGGGAAGGATGTTTCCAAGTTAAGTTGACCGGCTGGAACGCGTGTGACCAGCTGGCCGTGAAGATTGGCCAGAGTGTCTCAAAGTTAATGGCTGAGTGCCATGTGATGAGCAGCAGGCACAGTTCGAATGCCTGCCGCCATCAGCATTCAGCCGTCAGTATCCAGTATCACCCCTTGGTCGAGGCCAACATTGCTTCGCCCACAACTAGACGACGGATGGCCCGATCTATGTAGATGTGAAGCAGAGTGGTCGGGAAGTCACAGGGTCAAGGTTGGTCTTGAATCCCCTTGTGGCGTTGTGGCTGAAGGGCCATCAGAAGCAGCGCCCAATTTTGAGACGCAACTTCCCAGCTGAGGTGGGCATCTTTTTGCAATATCTCCTCAGCCGAGTGCTTTTAGCTGTACCTGATGCTCCAGACGGGGCTGCGGCACTCGGAGGTTTGCCATGGTCGGGCTGGCCGGGTGGTTGGAAGATGTTTCAAATTTGTTGCATATATTTGACATATCAATCATATCCATATCAATCATTTGAAAATTTGATTACACTTACTGTAATCTTTACTTAGTAGCAGAGGCAATTGCTGCCTGTTGCAACTGTTGCGCCCAGCCCAAGAGCAGCCAGGGTATAGCGATGTGCCATGATCAAGTGCATACTCCTGACATCTCATGACGATGGTGGTGATGATGATGGCGACGATGACGATCCTTTCAGGTTTAAGACGGGTTTGCCATTTTTTTGCCAAGTGGAGTCTGATTCCAGGTATGAACTGCTATGCCATCTATGCGTATGTACCCACCACGATGATGATGATGATGGTGGTGGTGATGATGATGATGACGACGATGATGATGATGATGATGATGACGACGATTGTGATTGCGATTGCGATGACTTGCTATGATTTGCCGTTTTTTGCCACGTAAAGTCTGATGCCAGGCGGCCTTGGCTTGGAGGCCTTACGTTTGGGACCTGAGGAAATATCTGCCTAAGACATCATGTGTGAGTTATCTAGAGAAGTGGAAAAACACTCTGGACAGGCATTCTGCAGGAAGGAAATGAGCATGGATTTTCCCTATGAGTTTATAAGTTCAAAACTGCAGTCTTGAAGCAAAGTCCTTTCCCTGTGTTTAAGGGGAAAGGGTGAGCCAAAAGCAAGACATGAGATATCATGAGATCTTCAGGTCCAAGCAAATTGAAACGGTTTCGTTCTGCAGCAAGTTCCACATCTGAACGCCGAGCCATTTGCAGCGCTTTGCTGTTTCTTTTTCAGCCATGCAGATGCAGATGATCCACCTGATGCAGCCCATTCAGCCACGCTTGGTGCTGCAGCAGGCCGTGCTCAAGCAGCCAGTGGTGTCGCATGTGCGGCCAGCGCAGCCGTGGCTTGGGCAGCTGCAGCTGCCAGCTCAGGTGAGGCCAGGCCCATGGCGCCAGCCGCGATGCCAACGCCGGTGAAGCACATGGCGAAGCTGGCCAGGCCATTGCGTTGGGTTTATGCTGCCCCTATGCAGCGCACCCAAGGACGCACCAATCAGGTGGTGCTTCCATTCCAACAGGTTGTTTCGACCAAGGTGATGGCTCCAGAGCGGAAGGAGCTTCCCAAAGAGGCCGGGTGTGGAGGGGATGCCCCATCGACTTTAAGGTTTTTTGGGAATTTAGCCTCTTCCGGTTTTGTCAAGAGTCAAAATGATCAAAATGTTAATTTGTTCCAGTTGGTCTTGCCGCGCCCAAAGCCACAGGTGTCCACGCAGGTGAAAGCACCAGAGCGCAAAGAGCTCCCGCTGATTGATGGCCAAGTTCCCAAAGACGCCGGTGTTGAGGGCATGCACCCAATCGATTTCAAAGCGTTTTGGGAGCAGAGCCTTTTCAAGTTTTTGTCAACTTGTTCAGTTCTTCCAGTCGGTGTTATGGGTTTCAAGAGACTCTCTCATGTTGATTTGCTCATCCGAAGCTATAGTCTTTTCGTGTTTTGTTGCCACAAAACTGTGCGTTCTTTGGATTTCCCCCTGCCAGATGCAGGTGACAAAGTCGACACGGCAGAGAAAAAATCAGAAGAACGGGTGTTATCGGATGTTCATGTTGGGCTTTAACCCCATTCAGCTGGAGTACACCCCCCCCTCTATAGGATCTATTAATCAAATTTGGGATATGTATAAGTGACCCCCTTGAGAAATGCACAAAGTGACAGCTCTGATTCTATAGAGGGGAATTCCACAAAAATGGAGCATTAAGTCAGTACCCCGTACTCTTACATTCTATAGAGGGCTATTCTGATCAGGAAAATAGATTCTATAGAGGGGGGGGGGCGTACTCCCCAATTTATATCTATAGAATCGGGGAGTATGGGGTAATGACTTAATCTGAAGGGGGATGTCCAAGCTTAGGAATCAGCAAAATATGGTTGTGGTCGACCTGCGCGGTAAGACCGCGCAAGCGGCCACATCGCAGGGACAGTTCATGTCCCGGCCATGGATCTCCTCAAGGAGATCCAGAAATTTGTGGAGATGTTTTTGGACCAGCCCATCGTCGCATTCATGTGCCAATACTCGGCCCATAGGGCTCCGACAGCGGCTGGATGGATTGTAACAACATGCTTGCTGTGCATTTTTGTTTTCTAATTTCAAGAGTTGTACCAAAACCCCTTCAAGAGCAACAGTTTCAGCAGGGGAAAACCAAAGCAACAAGGTCGCCAACTTCTACCGAAAGAGCTGCCCATCCAAGCAGCGAGTGATAATCCTAGAGGGCGGCTTCAGGGGATGGGAGGCCCATGACCTCCCTATCCAGCAGATTGAGACGAAACTGTCCCAGAAAGCGGCTGACCAGCTTGCACTGAAGATCGGGAAGGAAGTTTCCAAGTTGACCGGCTGAATGTGTGGCTATGAGCGGCAGGCACAGGTCGAATTTGAATACCTGCCAAATTTAGATTGTCAGTTTCACCCCTTGGTCGAGGCCAACATTGCTTCGCCGGCACAATGCTGAAGTGCACCAAACAGTGGTAAAACCGAGCAGTCACAGTTAGTCAATATGGTCTCGAATCTTTTCTTTTGAAGATTGTGGTATTGTGGCTGAGGGCCATTTGGATTGCCAGCTGAGGTGGACATCTCTTTGCCTGTGGAGGTCGTGATGGCGATATCTACCACTCCTCAGCCGAGTGCTTTCAGCTACCTGAGGCTCTGCAGGGCTGGCTGGCTGGTTTAAAGATGTTTCAAATCTGCTGCATACTGATACATATCCTAGTATTTAAAAAATATAATAAAATTATATATATAATATATATATTTATAATTAGTATTCTATTGATTTCTATAGTACGTTTACATACTATAGTATATATATATGATTCACTTATTTACGTGTGTCTGCATATATTTGTCTATAAATATATAAATGTATACACATACATGCATGCATGCATGCATGCATGCATGCATACATACATACATACATACATACATACATACCTACATACCTACATACCTACATACCTACATACCTACATACCTACATACCTACCTACCTACCTACCTACCTACCCCCGAGGCTCCAGACGGGTGGCACTTGGAGGTTTCTTTGATAGGACTGCCTGAGTGGTTTGAAGATGTTTCAAGACAGTTTCAAGATTTGTCAAACTTTTTCCATGATATATGTATTTACATTTTACTTCGTAGCAGGGGTCTTGCTATTTTGCAGCCAGCTCAAGAGCAGCTATCGGGTACAGCGATGCACCATGATCAACTGCTAGCGCACACTCATGACATCTCATGACAATGGTGATGGTGTTCTTAATGAGGATCATGACTCATGACTCATGACTCATGACGATGATGATGATGATGATGATGATGGCGATGACAATGACGATGATGATGATGATGATCATCATCATCATCATCATGATGCTGACCGTTTCAAGCTTGGAATGATTTGCTGGTCTGCCATTTTTTTGCCAAGTTGAGTCTGACACCAGGCGGCCTTGGCTTGGTGACATTAGGCTTGGGGCCTGAGGAAATGGTTAAGATGATCTGTGAGTTGAGCTATAGATTAGATAAATTCGAAAAGCACACTTCAGGAAGGAAATTTGTATTTTTCGACAAGGTTCTATTGTTGATTCACGACATGGGTTTACCCCTGGAGTTCATAGCTATAATTTTGTAATGTTTTGAAGCGAAGTCCTTTCCTCATCATCCTATATAATCCTTTCCTTGCCGGGAATGGGAAAGGGTCAGCCAAAAAGCAAGACATGAGACTCATCATGAGACATCCCGAGATCTTCAGGTCGAAGTGCTGCAGGTTTCCACATCTCGCCGAGCCATTCAGCTTCGAGTCTGCATAGTCTGCATCGTGTTAGAGTGTGTTGCGTTCTTTCCATGCAGATGCAGCAGATGCAGCCACGCTTGGTGCTGCAGGCCGTGGTCAGGCAGCCAGTGCTGTCGCATGCGCGGCCAGCGCAGCCCTGGGACAGGTCAGCTTGGTCAGAATCCTGCGAGGCCCATGGCGATGCCAGTGGCGATGCCAGTAGCGATGCCAACGCCCATCGTGAAGGCCGTGGTCAAGCCCGTGGTGAAGCCATCGCAATGGATTTATGCCTTGCTCCAAAGCACCCCAGGACGCAGCACCAGGTGGTCCTCTGTGGAAGGTGTGGTTTTGGCGTGTCTTGTTGCCCCAACGTGCGACTCTAACCAGACGAGGAATGTTTGAATCCTTTGGTGTATGTCAAAGCCCAGGAAGCATCAAAGTTGCGCGGGCAAGATCGGGCAAGCGGGGCTATTGGGCCATTCCAGGAACGGCAAATATCCCAGCCATGGATCTCCTCAAGGAGATCGGGAAATATGTGGAGGAGTGTGGGGACCAGCCGATCGTGGCATTTTTTTGCCAGTATTCGAGTACTGGCACAAGAATGCCACGATCGGCTGGTCCCCAAAATCCTTCACGTACTTCCCGATCTCCTTGAGGAGATCCATGGCCGGGACATGAACTGTCCCCAAACTTCTCCACGTCTATTCAGCTCATCGAGCTTCCACTGTGGCTGGATGCATTTGTAGCAATACACTTGCTGTGCATGTGTATTTTCTATTGTTTTCTGATTTCAAGAGTTGTACCACAACTCCCTTCAAGAGCAACAGTTTCAGCAGGGGAAAACCAAAGCAACAAGGTCGCAAACTTCTACCGAAAGAGCTGCCAGTCCCGACAGCGCGTGATGATCCTGGAGGGCGGCTTCAGGGGATGGGAGGCCCATGACCTCCCTATCCAGCAGATTGAGACGAAACTGTCCCAGAAAGTGTGTGACCAGCTGGCCCTGATTGGGAAGGATGTTTCCAAGTTGACCGGCTGGAACGCGTGTGACCAGCTGGCCGTGAAGATTGGCCAGAGTGTCTCAAAGTTGATGGCTGAGTGCCATGTGATGAGCAGCAGGCACAGTTCGAATGCCTGCCGCCATCAGCATTCAGCCGTCAGTATCCAGTACCACCCCTTGGTCGAGGCCAACATTGCTTCGCCCACAACTAGACGACGGATGGCCCGATCTATGTAGATGTGTAGATGTGAAGATGTGAAGATGTATAACAGGCCCCCACTATTAGAAGAACCCTTCGCTCAGACGCTCTCGGGAAAAAGCAGAGTGGTCAGTCACGGGTCAAGGTTGGTCTTGAATCCCCTTGTGGCGTTGTGGCTGAAGGGCCATCAGAAGCAGCGCCCAATTTTGAGACGCAACTTCCCAGCTGAGGTGGGCATCTTTTTGCAATATCTCCTCAGCCGAGTGCTTTTAGCTGTACCTGATGCTCCAGACGGGGCTGCGGCACTCGGAGGTTTGCCGTGGTCGGGCTGGCCGGGTGGTTGGAAGATGTTTCAAATTTGTTGCATATATTTGACATATCAATCATATCCATATCAATCATTTGAAAATTTGATTACACTTACTGTAATCTTTACTTAGTAGCAGAGGCAATTGCTGCCTGTTGCAACTGTTGCGCCCAGCCCAAGAGCAGCCAGGGTATAGCGATGTGCCATGACCAAATGCATACTCCTGACATCTCATGACATCTCATGACGATGGTGGTGATGATGATGGCGACGATGACGATCCTTTCAGGTTTAAGATGGGTTTGCCATTTTTTGTCAAGTGGAGTCTGATTCCAGGTATTAACTGCTATGCCATCTATGCGTATGTACCCACCACGATGATGATGATGATGATGATGATGGTGGTGGTGGTGATGATGATGATGATGCTGGTGATGATGATGATGATGATGATGACGATGACGATGACGATGACGATGATGACGATGATGATGATGATGATGATGACGACGATTGTGATTGCGATTGTGCTGACTTGCTATGCCGTTTTTTGCCACGTAAAGTCTGATGCCAGGCGGCCTTGGCTTGGAGGCCTTACGTTTGGGACCTGAGGGAATATCTGCCTAAGACATCATGTGTGAGTTATCTAGAGAAGTGGAAAAACACTCTGGACAGGCATTCTGCAGGAAGGAAATGAGCATGGATTTTCCCTATGAGTTCATAAGTTCAAAACTGCAGTCTTGAAGCAAAGTCCTTTCCCTGTGTTTAAGGGGAAAGGGTGAGCCAAAAGCAAGACATGAGATATCATGAGATCTTCAGGTCCAAGCAAATTGAAACGGTTTCGTTCTGCAGCAAGTTCCACATCTCAACGCCGAGCCATTTGCAGCGCTTTGCTGTTTCCTTTTCAGCCATGCAGATGCAGATGATCCCGATGCAGCCGATTCAGCCACGGGTGCAGCAGGCCGTGCTCAAGCAGCCAGTGCTGTCGCATATGTCGCATGTGCGGCCAGCGCAGCCGTGGCTTGGGCAGCAGCAGCTGCAGCAGCTGCCAGCTCAGGTGAGGCCGGCTGCGGGGCCGGCGCCAGCCGCGATGCCAACGCCCATGGTGCACATGGCGAAGCTGGCCAGGCCATTGCGTTGGGTGTATGCTGCCCCTATGCATCCTATGCAACGCACCCAAGGACGCAGCAATCAGGTGGTGCTTCCATTCCAACAGGTTGTTTCGACCAAGGTGGCTCCAGAGCGGAAGGAGCTTCCCAAAGAGGCCGGGTGTGGAGGGGATGCCCCATTGACTAATTTTTTTTGGGAATTTAGCCTCTTCCGGTTTTGTCAAGAGTCAAAATGATCAAAATGTTAATTCGTTCCAGTTGGTTTTGCCGCGCCCAAAGCCACAGGTGGTGTCCACGCAGGTGAAAGCACCAGAGCGCAAAGAGCTCCCGCTGATTGATGGCCAAGTTCCCAAAGACGCCGGTGTTGAGGGCATGCACCCAATCGATTTCAAAGCGTTTTGGGAGCAGAGCCTTTTCAAGTTTTTGTCAACTTGTTCAGTTCTTCCAGTCGGTGTTATGGGTTTCAAGAGACTCTCTCATGTTGATTTGCACATCCGAAGCTATGGTCTTTTCGTTTTTTGTTGCCACAAAACTGTGAGTTCTTTGGATTTCTTTGGTATGTCATGGTATGTCCAAGCTTAGGAATCAGCAAAATATGGTTGTGGTCGACCTGCGCGGTGAAGACCGCGAAAGTGGCCACATCGCAGGGACAGTTCATGTCCCAGCCATGGATCTCCTCAAGGAGATCCAGAAATTTGTGGAGATGTTTTTGGACCAGCCCATCGTGGCCTTCCTGTGCCAATACTCGGCACATAGGGCTCCGACAGCGGCTGGATGGATTGTAACAACATGCTTGCTGTGCATTTTTGTTTTCTAATTTCAAGAGTTGTACCAAAACCCCTTCAAGAGCAACAGTTTCAGCAGGGGAAAACCAAAGCAACGAGGTCGCCAACTTCTACCGAAAGAGCTGCCCAACCAAGCAGCGCGTGATGATCCTGGAGGGCGGCTTCAGGGGATGGGAGGCCCATGACCTCCCTATCCAGCAGATTGAGACGAAACTGTCCCAGAAAGCGGCTGACCAGCTTGCACTGAAGATCGGGAAGGAAGTTTCCAAGTTGACCGGCTGAATGTGTGGCTATGAGCGGCAGGCACAGGTCGAATTTGAATACCTGCCAAATTTAGATTGTCAGTTTCACCCCTTGGTCGAGGCCAACATTGCTTCGCCGGCACAATGCTGAAGTGCACCAAACAGTGGTAAAACCGAGCGGTCACAGTTAGTCAATATGGTCTCGAATCTTTTCTTTTGAAGATTGTGGCATTGCCAGCTGAGGTGGACATCTCTTTGCCTGTGGAGGTCGCGATGGCGATATCTACCTCAGCCGAGTGCTTTCAGCTACCTGAGGCTCTGCAGGGCTGGCTGGCTGGTTTGAAGATGTTTCAAATCTGCTGCATACTGATACATATCCTAGTATTAAAAAATGAAAATAACACTATATATATAATATAATATATATATAATATAATATAATATATATATATAATATAATATATATATAATATAATATATATATGATATAATATATATATAATATAATATATATATATTTATTTATTTATAATTAGTATTCTATTGATTTCTATAGTATATTTACATACTATAGTATATATATAATTCACTTATTTACGTGTGTCTGCATATATTTGTCTATAAATATATAAATGTATACACATGCATACATACATACATACATACATACATACATACATACCTGAGGCTCCAGACGGGTGGCACTTGGAGGTTTCTTTGATAGGACTGCCTGAGTGGTTTGAAGATGTTTCAAGACAGTTTCAAGATTTGTCAAACTTTTTCCATGATATATGTATTTACATTTTACTTCGTAGCAGGGGTCTTGCTATTTTGCAGCCAGCTCAAGAGCAGCTATCGGGTACACCGATGTACCATGATCAACTGCTAGCGCACACTCAAGACATCTCATGACAATGGTGATGGTGTTCTTAATGAGGATCATGACTCATGACTCATGACGATGATGATGATGATGATGACGACGACGACGATGATGATGATGATGCCGACCGTTTCAAGCTTAGAATGATTTGCTGGTTTGCCATTTTTTTGCCAAGTTGAGTCTGACACCAGGCGGCCTTGGCTTGGTGGCGTTAGGTTTGGGGCCTGAGGAAATGGCTGCCTAAGATGATCTGTGAGTTGAGCTATAGATTAGATAAATTCGAAAAGCACACTTCAGGAAGGAAATTTGTATTTTTCGACAAGGTTCTATTGTTGATTCACGACATGGGTTTGCCCCTGGAGTTCATAGCTACAATTTTTTAATGTTTTGAAGCGAAGTCTTTCCTCATCATCCTATATAATCCTTTCCTTGGCGGGAATGGGAAAGGGTCAGCCAAAAAGCAAGACATGAGACTCATCATGAGACATCCCGAGATCTTCAGGTCGAAGTGCTGCAGGTTTCCACATCTCGCCGAGCCATTCAGCTTCGAGTCTGCATAGTCTGTATCGTGTTAGAGTGTGTTGCGTTCTTTCCATGCAGATGCAGCAGATGCAGCCACGCTTGGTGCTGCAGGCCGTGGTCAGGCAGCCAGTGCTGTCGCATGCGCGGCCAGCGCAGCCCTGGGACGGGTGCATCAGCTTGGTCAGAATTCTGCGAGGCCCATGGCGATGCCAGTGGCGATGCCAACGCCCATCGTGAAGGCCGTGGTCAAGCCCGTGGTGCACGCCAGGACGCAGCACCAGGTGGTCCTCTGTGGAAGGTGTGGTTTTGGCGTGTCTTGTTGCCCCAACGTGTGACTCTAACCAGACGAGGAATGTTTGAATCCTTTGGTGTATGTCAAAGCCCAGGAAGCATCAAAGTTGCGCGGGCAAGATCGGGCAAGCGGGGCTATTCGGCCATGCCAGGAACGGCAAATATCCCGGCCATGGATCTCCTCAAGGAGATCGGGAAATATGTGGAGGAGTGTGGGGACCAGCCGATCGTGGCATTTTTTTGCCAGTATTCGAGTACTGGCACAAGAATGCCACGATCGGCTGGTCCCCAAAATCCTTCACGTACTTCCCGATCTCCTTGAGGAGATCCATGGCCGGGACATGAACTGTCCCCAAGCTTCTCCACGTCTATTCAGCTCATCGAGCTTCCACTGTGGCTGGATGTATTTGTAGCAATACACTTGCTGTGCATGTGTATTTTCTATTGTTTTCTGATTTCAAGAGTTGTACCACAACTCCCTTCAAGAGCAACAGTTTCAGCAGGGGAAAACCAAAGCAACAAGTTCGCAAACTTCTACCGAAAGAGCTGCCAGTCCCGACAGCGCGTGATGATCCTGGAGGGCGGCTTCAGGGGATGGGAGGCCCATGACCTCCCCATCCAACAGATATAGACGAAACTTTCCCAGAAAGCGTGTGACCAGCTGGCCCTGATTGGGAAGGATGTTTCCAAGTTAAGTTGACCGGCTGGAACGCGTGTGACCAGCTGGCCGTGAAGATTGGCCAGAGTGTCTCAAAGTTAATGGCTGAGTGCCATGTGATGAGCAGCAGGCACAGTTCGAATGCCTGCCGCCATCAGCATTCAGCCGTCAGTATCCAGTATCACCCCTTGGTCGAGGCCAACATTGCTTCGCCCACAACTAGACGACGGATGGCCCGATCTATGTAGATGTGTAGATGTGAAGATGTGAAGACGTATAACAGGCCCCCACTATTAGAAGAACCCTTCGCTCAGACGCTCTCGGGAAAAAGCTGAAGCGCAGAGAACTGTAGAAAAAGCAGAGTGGTCAGTCACGGGTCAAGGTTGGTCTTGAATCCCCTTGTGGCGTTGTAGCTAAGAGCCATCAGAAGCAGCGCCCAATTTTGAGACGCAACGAACTTCCCAGCTGAGGTGGGCATCTTTTTGCAATATCACTCCTCAGCCGAGTGCTTTTTGTTGTACCTGATGCTCCAGACGGGGCTGCGGCACTCGGAGGTTTGCCGTGGTCGGGCTGGCCGGGTGGTTGGAAGATGTTTCAAATTTGTTGCATATATTTGACATATCAATCATATCCATATCAATCATTTGATTACACTGTAATCTTTACTTAGTAGCAGAGGCAATTGCTGCCTGTTGCAACTGTTGCGCCCAGCCCAAGAGCAGCCAGGGTATAGCGATGTGCCATGACCAAATGCATACTCCTGACATCTCATGACATCTCATGACGATGGTGGTGATGATGATGGCGACGATGACGATCCTTTCAGGTTTAAGACGGGTTTGCCATTTTTTTGCCAAGTGGAGTCTGATTCCAGGTATGAACTGCTATGCCATCTATGCGTATGTACCCACCACGATGATGATGATGATGATGATGATGGTGGTGGTGATGATGATGATGATGACGACGATGATGATGATGATGATGATGATGATGATGATGACGACGATTGTGATTGCGATTGCGATGACTTGCTATGATTTGCTGTTTTTTTGCCACGTAAAGTCTGATGCCAGGCGGCCTTGGCTTGGAGGCCTTACGTTTGGGACCTGAGGAAATATCTGCCTAAGACATCATGTGTGAGTTATCTAGAGAAGTGGAAAAACATTCTGGACTCTGGACAGGCATTCTGCAGGAAGGAAATGAGCATGGATTTTCCCTATGAGTTCATAAGTTCAAAACTGCAGTCTTAGAAGCAAAGTCCTTTCCCTGTGTTTAAGGAAGGGGAAAGGGTGAGCCAAAAGCACGACATGAGATATCATGAGATCTTCAGGTCCAAGCAAATTGAAACGGTTTCGTTCTGCAGCAAGTTCCACATCTGAAGGCCGAGCCATTTGCAGCGCTTTGCTGTTTCCTTTTCAGCCATGCAGATGCAGATGATCCACCCGATGCAGCCGATTCAGCCACGGGTGCAGCAGGCCGTGCTCAAGCAGCCAGTGGTGCTGTCGCATATGTCGCATGTGCGGCCAGCGCAGCCGTGGCTTGGGCAGCAGCAGCTGCAGCAGCTGCCAGCTCAGGTGAGGCCGGCTGTGGGGCCGGCGCCAGCCGCGATGCCAACGCCCATGGTGCACATGGCGAAGCTGGCCAGGCCATTGCGTTGGGTGTATGCTGCCCCTATGCATCCTATGCAACGCACCCAAGGACGCACCCAGGTGGTGCTTCCATTCCAGGTTGTTTCGACCAAGGTGGCTCCAGAGAAGGAGCTTCCCAAAGAGGCCGGGTGTGGAGGGGATGCCCCATCGACTTTAATTTTTTTTGGGAATTTAGCTTCCGATTTTGTCAAGAGTCAAAATGATCAAAATGTTAATTTGTTCCAGTTGGTTTTGCCTTCCGCACCCAAAGCCACAGGTGGTGTCCACGCAGGTGAAAGCACCAGAGCGCAAAGAGCTCCCGCTGATTGATGGCCAAGTTCCCAAAGACGCCGGTGTCGAGGGCATGCACCCAATCGATTTCAAAGCGTTTTGGGAGCAGAGCCTTTTCAAGTTTTTGTCAACTTGTTCAGTTCTTCCAGTCGGTGTTATGGGTTTCAAGAGACTCTCTCATATTGATTCGCTCATCCGAAGCTATGGTCTTTTCGTGTTTTGTTGCCACGAAACTGTGCGTTCTTTGGATTTCTTTGGTATGTCATGGTATGTCCAAGCTTAGGAATCAGCAAAATATGGTTGTGGTCGACCTGCGCGGTGAAGACCGCGCAAGTGGCCACATCGCAGGGACAGTTCATGTCCCAGCCATGGATCTCCTCAAGGAGATCCAGAAATTTGTGGAGATGTTTTCGGACCAGCCCATCGTGGCCTTCCTGTGCCAATACTCGGCACATAGGGCTCCGACAGCGGCTGGATGGATTGTAACAACATGCTTGCTGTGCGTTTTTGTTTTCTGTTTTCAAGAGTTGTACCAAAAGCCCCTTCAAGAGCGACAGTTTCAGCAGGGGAAAACCAAAGCAACGAGGTCGCCAACTTCTACCGAAAGAGCTGCCCAACCAAGCAGCGCGTGATGATCCTGGAGGGCGGCTTCAGGGGATGGGAGGCCCATGACCTCCCTATCCAGCAGATTGAGACGAAACTGTCCCAGAAAGCGGCTGACCAGCTTGCACTGAAGATCGGGAAGGAAGTTTCCAAGTTGACCGGCTGAATGTGTGGCTATGAGCGGCAGGCACAGGTCGAATTTGAATACCTGCCAAATTTAGATTGTCAGTTTCACCCCTTGGTCGAGGCCAACATTGCTTCGCCGGCACAATGCTGAAGTGCACCAAACAGTGGTAAAACCGAGCGGTCACAGTTAGTCAATATGGTCTCGAATCTTTTCTTTTGAAGATTGTGGCATTGCCAGCTGAGGTGGACATCTCTTTGCCTGTGGAGGTCGCGATGGCGATATCTACCTCAGCCGAGTGCTTTCAGCTACCTGAGGCTCTGCAGGGCTGGCTGGTTTGAAGATGTTTCAAATCTGCTGCATACTGATACATATCCTAGTATTAAAAATATATAATAAAATTATATAAAATATATATATATATATTTATAATTAGTATTCTATTGATTTCTATAGTACGTTTACATACTATAGTATATATATAATTCACTTATTTACGTGTGTCTGCATATATTTGTCTATAAATATACAAATGTATACACATACATACAGACAGACAGACAGACATACAGACAGACAGACATACATACATACCTACCTACCCGAGGCTCCAGACGGGTGGCACTTGGAGGTTTCTTTGATAGGACTGCCTGAGTGGTTTGAAGATGTTTCAAGACAGTTTCAAGATCTGTCAAACTTTTTCCATGATAAATCGGATGATATATGTATTTACATTTTTCTTCGTAGCAGGGGTCTTGCTATTTTGCAGCCAACTCAAAAGCAGCTATAGGGTACAGCGATGCACCATGATCAACTGCTAGCGCACACTCATGACATCTCATGACAATGGTGATGGTGTTCTTAATGAGGATCATGACTCATGAGTCATGACTCATGACTCACGACGATGACGATGATGATGATGATGATGATGATGATGGCGATGACAATGACGATGATGATGATGATGATGATGATGGCGATGGCGATGACGATGACGATGACGATGATGATGATGATCATCATCATCATCATCATCATGATGCTGACCGTTTCAAGCTTGGAATGATTTGCTGGTCTGCCATTTTTTTGCCAAGTTGAGTCTGACACCAGGCGGCCTTGGCTTGGTGACATTAGGCTTGGGGCCTGAGGAAATGGCTAAGATGATCTGTGAGTTGAGCTATAGATTAGATAAATTCGAAAAGCACACTTCAGGAAGGAAATTTGTATTTTTCGACAAGGTTCTATTGTTGATTCACGACATGGGTTTACCCCTGGAGTTCATAGCTATAATTTTTTAATGTTTTGAAGCGAAGTCCTTTCCTCATCATCCTATATAATCCTTTCCTTGCCGGGAATGGGAAAGGGTCAGCCAAAAAGCAAGACATGAGACTCATCATGAGACATCCCGAGATCTTCAGGTCGAAGTGCTGCAGGTTTCCACATCTCGCCGAGCCATTCAGCTTCGAGTCTGCATAGTCTGTATCGTGTTAGAGTGTGTTGCGTTCTTTCCATGCAGATGCAGCAGATGCAGCCACGCTTGGTGCTGCAGGCCGTGGTCAGGCAGCCAGTGCTGTCGCATGCGCGGCCAGCGCAGCCCTGGGACAGGTCAGCTTGGTCAGAATCCTGCGAGGCCCATGGCGATGCCAGTGGCGATGCCAGTAGCGATGCCAACGCCCATCGTGAAGGCCGTGGTCAAGCCCGTGGTGAAGCCATCGCAATGGATTTATGCCTTGCTCCAAAGCACCCCAGGACGCAGCACCAGGTGGTCCTCTGTGGAAGGTGTGGTTTTGGCGTGTCTTGTTGCCCCAACGTGCGACTCTAACCAGACGAGGAATGTTTGAATCCTTTGGTGTATGTCAAAGCCCAGGAAGCATCAAAGTTGCGCGGGCAAGATCGGGCAAGCGGGGCTATTCGGCCATTCCAGGAACGGCAAATATCCCAGCCATGGATCTCCTCAAGGAGATCGGGAAATATGTGGAGGAGTGTGGGGACCAGCCGATCGTGGCATTTTTTTGCCAGTATTCGAGTATTGGCACAAGAATGCCACGATCGGCTGGTCCCCAAAATCCTTCACGTACTTCCCGATCTCCTTGAGGAGATCCATGGCCGGGACATGAACTGTCCCCAAACTTCTCCACGTCTATTCAGCTCATCGAGCTTCCACTGTGGCTGGATGCATTTGTAGCAATACACTTGCTGTGCATGTGTATTTTCTATTGTTTTCTGATTTCAAGAGTTGTACCACAACTCCCTTCAAGAGCAACAGTTTCAGCAGGGGAAAACCAAAGCAACAAGGTCGCAAACTTCTACCGAAAGAGCTGCCAGTTCAAACAGCGCGTGATGATCCTGGAGGGCGGCTTCAGGGGATGGGAGGCCCATGACCTCCCTATCCAGCAGATTGAGACGAAACTGTCCCAGAAAGTGTGTGACCAGCTGGCCCTGATTGGGAAGGATGTTTCCAAGTTGACCGGCTGGAACGCGTGTGACCAGCTGGCCGTGAAGATTGGCCAGAGTGTCTCAAAGTTGACCGGCTGAATGCCATGTGATGAGCAGCAGGCACAGTTCGAATGCCTGCCGCCATCAGCATTCAGCCGTCAGTATCCAGTATCATCCCATTGGTCGAGGCCAACATTGCTTCGCCCACAACTAGACGACGGATGGCCCGATCTATGTAGATGTGTAGATGTGAAGATGTGAAGACGTATAACAGGCCCCCACTATTAGAAGAACCCTTCGCTCAGACGCTCTCGGGAAAAAGCAGAGTGGTCAGTCACGGGTCAAGGTTGGTCTTGAATCCCCTTGTGGCGTTGTGGCTGAAGGGCCATCAGAAGCAGCGCCCAATTTTGAGACGCAACTTCCCAGCTGAGGTGGGCATCTTTTTGCAATATCACTCCTCAGCCGAGTGCTTTTAGCTGTACCTGATGCTCCAGACGGGGCTGCGGCACTCGGAGGTTTGCCGTGGTCGGGCTGGCCGGGTGGTTGGAAGATGTTTCAAATTTGTTGCATATATTTGACATATCAATCATATCCATATCAATCATTTGAAAATTTGATTACACTTACTGTAATCTTTACTTAGTAGCAGAGGCAATTGCTGCCTGTTGCAACTGTTGCGCCCAGCCCAAGAGCAGCCAGGGTATAGCGATGTGCCATGATCAAGTGCATACTCCTGACATCTCATGACGATGGTGGTGATGATGATGGCGACGATGACGATCCTTTCAGGTTTAAGACGGGTTTGCCATTTTTTTGCCAAGTGGAGTCTGATTCCAGGTATGAACTGCTATGCCATCTATGCGTATGTACCCACCACGATGATGATGATGATGATGATGATGATGGTGGTGGTGATGATGATGATGATGACGACGACGATGATGATGATGACGACGATTGTGATTGCGATTGCGATGACTTGCTATGATTTGCTGTTTTTTGCCACGTAAAGTCTGATGCCAGGCGGCCTTGGCTTGGAGGCCTTACGTTTGGGACCTGAGGAAATATCTGCCTAAGACATCATGTGTGAGTTATCTAGAGAAGTGGAAAAACACTCTGGACAGGCATTCTGCAGGAAGGAAATGAGCATGGATTTTCCCTATGAGTTTATAAGTTCAAAACTGCAGTCTTGAAGCAAAGTCCTTTCCCTGTGTTTAAGGGGAAAGGGTGAGCCAAAAGCAAGACATGAGATATCATGAGATCTTCAGGTCCAAGCAAATTGAAACGGTTTCGTTCTGCAGCAAGTTCCACATCTCAACGCCGAGCCATTTGCAGCGCTTTGCCGTTTCCTTTTCAGCCATGCAGATGCAGATGATCCCGATGCAGCCGATTCAGCCACGGGTGCAGCAGGCCGTGCTCAAGCAGCCAGTGCTGTCGCATATGTCGCATGTGCGGCCAGCGCAGCCGTGGCTTGGGCAGCTGCAGCTGCAGCAGCTGCCAGCTCAGGTGAGGCCGGCTGCGGGGCCGGCGCCAGCCGCGATGCCAACGCCCATGGTGCACATGGCGAAGCTGGCCAGGCCATTGCGTTGGGTGTATGCTGCCCCTATGCATCCTATGCAACGCACCCAAGGACGCAGCAATCAGGTGGTGCTTCCATTCCAACAGGTTGTTTCGACCAAGGTGGCTCCAGAGCGGAAGGAGCTTCCCAAAGAGGCCGGGTGTGGAGGGGATGCCCCATCGACTTTAATTTTTTTTGGGAATTTAGCCTCTTCCGGTTTTGTCAAGAGTCAAAATGATCAAAATGTTAATTCGTTCCAGTTGGTTTTGCCGCGCCCAAAGCCACAGGTGGTGTCCACGCAGGTGAAAGCACCAGAGCGCAAAGAGCTCCCGCTGATTGATGGCCAAGTTCCCAAAGACGCCGGTGTCGAGGGCATGCACCCAATCGATTTCAAAGCGTTTTGGGAGCAGAGCCTTTTCAAGTTTTTGTCAACTTGTTCAGTTCTTCCAGTCGGTGTTATGGGTTTCAAGAGACTCTCTCATGTTGATTCGCTCATCCGAAGCTATGGTCTTTTCGTGTTTTGTTGCCACGAAACTGTGCGTTCTTTGGATTTCTTTGGTATGTCATGGTATGTCCAAGCTTAGGAATCAGCAAAATATGGTTGTGGTCGACCTGCGCGGTGAAGACCGCGCAAGTGGCCACATCGCAGGGACAGTTCATGTCCCAGCCATGGATCTCCTCAAGGAGATCCAGAAATTTGTGGAGATGTTTTCGGACCAGCCCATCGTGGCCTTCCTGTGCCAATACTCGGCACATAGGGCTCCGACAGCGGCTGGATGGATTGTAACAACATGCTTGCTGTGCGTTTTTGTTTTCTGTTTCAAGAGTTGTACCAAAACCCCTTCAAGAGCAACAGTTTCAGCAGGGGAAAACCAAAGCAACAAGGTCGCCAACTTCTACCGAAAGAGCTGCCCGTCCAAGCAGCGCGTGATAATCCTAGAGGGCGGCTTCAGGGGATGGGAGGCCCATGACCTCCCTATCCAGCAGATTGAGACGAAACTGTCCCAGAAAGCGGCTGACCAGCTTGCACTGAAGATCGGGCAGGAAGTTTCCAAGTTGACCGGCTGAATGTGTGGCTATGAGCGGCAGGCACAGGTCGAATTTGAATACCTGCCAAATTTAGATTGTCAGTTTCACCCCTTGGTCGAGGCCAACATTGCTTCGCCGGCACAATGCTGAAGCGCACCAAACAGTGGTAAAACCGAGCGGTCACAGTTAAACAGTTAGTCAATATGGTCTCGAATCTTTTCTTTTGAAGATTGTGGCATTGTGGCTGAGGGCCATTTGCATTGCCAGCTGAGGTGGACATCTCTTTGCCTGTGGAGGTCGCGATGGCGATGTCTACCACTCCTCAGCCGAGTGCTTTCAGCTACCTGAGGCTCTGCAGGGCTGGCTGGCTGGTTTAAAGATGTTTCAAATCTGCTGCATACTGATACATATCCTAGTATTAGTATTATTTCAATAAAATTATATATACATACATAATTAGTATTCTATTGATTTCTATAGTATATTTACATACTATAGTATATATATATATAATTCACTTATTTACGTGTGTCTGCATATATTTGTCTATAAATATATAAATGTATACACCGATATATATATATATAAATATGTGTGTATATATAAATGTTACACGTACATACATACATACATACATACATACATACATACATACATACATACATACATACATACATACATACATACATACATACATACATACATACATACATACATACATACATACATACATACATACATACATACATACATACATACATACATACATACATACATACATACATACATACATCATACTAATACATACATACATACATATACATACATACATACATCCATACATACAACATACATCATACATACTACATACATACATACATACATACCTACATACATACATACATAATCCATCATAATACATACATTACATACATACATACATACATACATACATACATACATACATACATACATACATACATACATACATACATACATACATACATACATCATACATACCTACATCATACATACATACATACATACATACATACATCCATACATACATACATACATACATACCATCCATCCATCCATCCATCCATCCATCCATCCATACATCCATCCATCCATACATCCATACATCCATACATCCATACATCCATCCATCCATCCATACATACAGACAGACAGACAGACATACATACATACATACACATGTATGGGCACAAAAAAAAAACGTGACGATGACGATGACGATGATGATGATGATGATGATGATGACGATGACGATTTTGATTGCGATTGCGATGACTTGCTATGATTTGCCGTTTTTTGCCACGTAAAGTCTGATGCCAGGCGGCCTTGGCTTGGAGGCCTTACGTTTGGGACCTGAGGAAATATCTGCCTAAGACATCATGTGTGAGTTATCTAGAGAAGTGGAAAAACACTCTGGACAGGCATTCTGCAGGAAGGAAATGAGCATGGATTTTCCCTATGAGTTTATAAGTTCAAAACTGCAGTCTTGAAGCAAAGTCCTTTCCCTGTGTTTAAGGGGAAAGGGTGAGCCAAAAGCAAGACATGAGATATCATGAGATCTTCAGGTCCAAGCAAATTGAAACGGTTTCGTTCTGCAGCAAGTTCCACATCTCAACGCCGAGCCATTTGCAGCGCTTTGCTGTTTCCTTTTCAGCCATGCAGATGCAGATGATCCCGATGCAGCCGATTCAGCCACGGGTGCAGCAGGCCGTGCTCAAGCAGCCAGTGCTGTCGCATGTGCGGCCAGCGCAGCCGTGGCTTGGGCAGCTGCAGCTGCCAGCTCAGGTGAGGCCGGCTGCGGGGCCCATAGCGCCAGCCGCGATGCCAACGCCCATGGTGAAGCACATGGCGAAGCTGGCCAGGCCATTGCGTTGGGTTTATGCTGCCCCTATGCATCCTATGCAACGCACCCAAGGACGCAGCAATCAGGTGGTGCTTCCATTCCAACAGGTTGTTTCGACCAAGGTGATGGCTCCAGAGAAGGAGCTTCCCAAAGAGGCCGGGTGTGGAGGGGATGCCCCATCGACTTTAAGGTTTTTTTGGGAATTTAGCCTCTTCTGGTTTTGTCAAGAGTCAAAATGATCAAAATGTTAATTTGTTCCAGTTGGTTTTGCCTCGCCCAAAGCCACAGGTGGTGTCCACGCAGGTGAAAGCACCAGAGCGCAAAGAGCTTCCGCTGATTGATGGCCAAGTTCCCAAAGACGCCGGTGTTGAGGGCATGCACCCAATCGATTTCAAAGCGTTTTGGGAGCAGAGCCTTTTCAAGTTTTTGTCAACTTGTTCAGTTCTTCCAGTCGGTGTTATGGGTTTCAAGAGACTCTCTCATGTTGATTCGCTCATCCGAAGCTATGGTCTTTTCGTGTTTTGTTGCCACGAAACTGTGCGTTCTTTGGATTTCTTTGGTATGTCATGGTATGTCCAAGCTTAGGAATCAGCAAAATATGGTTGTGGTCGACCTGCGCGGTGAAGACCGCGCAAGTGGCCACATCGCAGGGACAGTTCATGTCCCAGCCATGGATCTCCTCAAGGAGATCCAGAAATTTGTGGAGATGTTTTCGGACCAGCCCATCGTGGCCTTCCTGTGCCAATACTCGGCACATAGGGCTCCGACAGCGGCTGGATGGATTGTAACAGCATGCTTGCTGTGCGTTTTTGTTTTCTGATTTCAAGAGTTGTACCAAAAGCCCCTTCAAGAGCAACAGTTTCAGCAGGGGAAAACCAAAGCAACAAGGTCGCCAACTTCTACCGAAAGAGCTGCCCAACCAAGCAGCGCGTGATGATCCTGGAGGGCGGCTTCAGGGGATGGGAGGCCCATGACCTCCCTATCCAGCAGATTGAGACGAAACTGTCCCAGAAAGCGGCTGACCAGCTTGCACTGAAGATCGGGCAGGAAGTTTCCAAGTTGACCGGCTGAATGTGTGGCTATGAGCGGCAGGCACAGGTCGAATTTGAATACCTGCCAAATTTAGATTGTCAGTTTCACCCCTTGGTCGAGGCCAACATTGCTTCGCCGGCACAATGCTGAAGTGCACCAAACAGTGGTAAAACCGAGCGGTCACAGTTAAACAGTTAGTCAATATGGTCTCGAATCTTTTCTTTTGAAGATTGTGGCATTGTGGCTGAGGGCCATTTGGATTGCCAGCTGAGGTGGACATCTCTTTGCCTGTGGAGGTCGCGATGGCGATATCTACCACTCCTCAGCCGAGCTACCTGAGGCTCTGCAGGGCTGGCTGGCTGGTTTAAAGATGTTTCAAATCTGCTGCATACTGATACATATCCTAGTATTAGTATTATAAAATTCTAATAAATATATATATAATTAGTATTCTATTGATTTCTATAGTATATTTACATACTATAGTATATATATATATAATTCACTTATTTACGTGTGTCTGCATATATTTGTCTCTAAATATATAAATGTATGTATATATATGTATATATAAATGTTACACATACATACATACATACATGCATGCATGCATGCATGCATGCATGCATGCATACATACATACCTACGTATACATACATACGTACATACGTACGTACGTACGTACATACATACATACATACATACCTACATACCTACATACCTACATACCTACATACCTACATACCTACATACCTACATACCTACATACCTACATACGTACATACGTACATACGTACATACGTACATACGTACATGCGTACATGCGTACATGCGTACATGCGTACATACGTACATACGTACATACGTACATACGTACATACGTACATACGTACATACGTACATATTGTGCTTAGTAACTTCATAGCATACTACAAGCCAGATGAAACAACTACCCGGTAGTGTAAAACACCACGCTTTTGCCGAAGCTTCAGGCTGCGGAACCTTCAGACGGCCGATGGCACCCTTTGCCAGTGCCATGCTGAGAAATCGGCGCAATGGTTCATCGTTCAAGATATGGGGTTTCCATAAATGGTAGCACCCCCAAAATGGAGCGTTTATAATCGAAAATCCCAACAAATAAAATGGATGATTTGGGGGTACCCTACTTTAGGAAACCCCCGTATGGAACCCCAAGGTAGATGGCTATAATAAACAGTCCAAATCACTTGTGTTTTCCTTCTGAGAATTGACGCACTTGGTGGATTTCAACCAACTTGTGTAGAAGTCGTTTCAGTCTCCTGCCACAAGTTCTTTTGGAAATACTTCCTGTGTGTCCTTGTACATCTCGCCATTGTCACCATTTTATTGTTCTTTTCGAAGCTTAATATTGAGGCACTGTTGCGACCACGTTGCTACCCTGCTGTACGTTTTGCTGAAGGGGTTTGGCTGTGTGGCGGTCTCACCAGGCCTGGTTTTGTCAAAATTTGTCAGGTGTTTTTGCTGGATTATTGTTTTCTTCGTTCCAAGGCCTAACTCTTCTTGGCACCTTATTGAAATGATTTGAAATAGGTGTCTTAAAGACTCGAAGTGAATTCCATAACTTGCTGAGTGTTTTCTTTTGTACCAACTTTGTTGCGCCCGCATTTTTGCTGCAGCTCATCCAATGCAGGTGGGAATACATGATATACATGTAATGTCACCTTAGAACCACATAAATTGTTTCTGTTCTTCTGCCTGATTGCTGTAGACTAAATATACCCCGGATCTCCAGGTTTTGGGATATTCCCAGTAGATTTGTTTCTTTCTTGCAAACAATTAGTAACGAACGCTGAACCATCCAGGTTCAAGCCATACCGGAAAGTTCACACTTATATATATATATATATACGTATATATAATGATGAAAATGGGTTTCGGTTGGATGTGTTGATGATTGCGGGAACGGATCTCTTTCTCTCTATAACTAATATACAATGCATTATCATTAAAGCTTATGAAATACCTACTATACAATTCTATGACATTACTTTTATACTAAATGTATAATGCTGCTATTTAAATATAATCATACTATATCATGATACATCGTGCTGTATCATAGTACAGTATATCATACTACATCATAGTATATACTACAATGTCATAGTATATCATACTATGTCATAGTATGTATACTGTATCCAACAGCATCACAAAATGTACACATATCAACATACACTAATATTATAGTACATATTTGATATATATATATAGATAGATATGTAGATAGATATTATGATATGATGCATGATCACACTACATCTCAAAACATGATTCAGAAATCCCATCCCCGGTACCAGGTCCTCCAACGGTACCGGGGGCCTCCACCGAGTGCTCCGGGGGTGGGTCATCCACTAGTTGGGATGCTAAACGTGCACAGAAATGAACAACATCTTGCACAGAGGTAGCTACATCAATGGGTGGTGAATGAAACCTATCATGTTGTGCAAAGATGTGAACTTTTGCATTGGAAACACGCCAGAGATGATCATCATTAAGTTGGTTTGAGGGAAAAAGTAGAGGAAACTCCGTTTTTTCGCAACCATCTACCCTGCGGTAGTCAAACAGGGTAAGCGAAATCCCGTATAAATGGAGGTTTATAGCTGGGAATATCAACCAGAATTGGTGGAGTTTCCAGCAAACCACGTTTTGATATGGAGGGTAAACAATGCGGTTAGCCGGTTAGCCCGGCTTCAATTTTCCCTTAATCCCATGGTGCCTGGCAGGAGGATCTTCAACCTTCCAGTCGCGAGATTTGCCTGGCCTCTCCAAGGGGCACTGAGGCCGATGACCAGCGTGTCTCTGCAGCATCTCAGCATGAGATGTTGCTGCGTCAAAGACACGCTGGTCATCGACCTGAAGCAGGAGAATGGCAGCGTCTCTGCAGTGGATTCAGCGTTGACGAAGGCCGTGCTGATTCTTTGAGCATGGACGGTTCTGCCAAGCTTTCAGTCGATGTTGCAGATGGAAGCAGTGATAAGGAGCACAACGGCCAGAAGGAAGAAGACATCGATGCTGAGCAGCCCCTCCCAGATGCAGAATATGTTCCTGTTGGTGCTGGCGAAGCTGTCATTTGTCGGAGGAACTGGAAGAGGATCTTCAACCAGTCCATTGCGAGATTTGCCTGTGGATCTGCCAAGCCGATTGAGTCCAGGTGGGTTTCTCGGAGTTCAAGGAAAACCGGAACCTAACCAGACCATCTATGTCTAGGACATATGGATATGGTGTATTTACCTCAAGAACTGCCCGAATCTTTTGGGGGGAAAAGTTGGCACACCGTCCAAAGGCTTGGTGGTCGTCTCAACATGGCAGAGTCCTTGGGACCTTGGGTTTATTTTCCATCTAGAGGATTGTCACTTCACCCTTAAGGCCTTAAGAGGTTGTGTTCATGCTACATGATGGAAACTCTTACGCGTATATATATATATATAAATTATACAGATACAGAGACATATATGACATATGATCTATATATATATACACTATGTATATATATATATACGTATATACTTCAGGTATATATATATATAATGTAATATAATATAATATACTATACTATAATATAATATTATATAATATGATATGATATAATATAATATACTATAATATAATATGATATAATATAATATGATATAATAAAATATGATATAATATAATATGATATGATATAATATAATATAATATAATATAATATACACATACATATTTAATTTAAATGTATTACCTATATGATTTGATGAAGCATGTCATATCTCTAAAGCCAGTAATGTCTTTTGCCAAAGCCTCCCCCGGGGTGGGCAAAATGCCCAAAATCCAACAGGCCTATGTCTTGACGGAGCCGTGGCATGTGGCCCTTTCGGCGCCGCTCTGTGGGCACTGTCAGGTGCTGTGGCGTCATTTCTGGCCGGTGAATTCCAATATGGGAATATCATCTTACATTACTGTACCCCAGGCATGGTGTTTCACGTTGTCTTCAGGCAAAGCAACAAAACCAAAAACCTTGTGATTTTCAGTGGCCAGATGTTGGCAACCAAAAACCATCTCACCCTCTGAGATGATTCTCGGAGTTAACAACCCTGGTTCAGAAGTTCCCAAAGTAGGCTTTCCCATTGATAACTGTATGACTGGGTATCCCGTCCAAGCAGCTACGATTGGTAATCCTCCAAGTAGTGATTCCCGAAAAAATCCCTTCCGTGAAAAACC